TGATGGCCCCAGGCGGTATTTCGCTGGCCGCGCTTCTCGACTGTGTCGTCGACAGCCACGTCGCTCTTCACGTCGGCACCCACGCTTCGGCCGTCCGGCACCTGGTCCGGTCTCGATCGTCCCAACCCTGCGCGGTGCGACAAGTCTCGACGGCGCTGCGTGCTTCCCGGCCATTGGTAAGCCGAAAAGTGCTCCGCCGCGTGCGCCGGCCAAGGAACAACCAGTTTGGGCTGCTCATGCGCCGCTCCGTGCCCTCGCTGCGCCCGCCGCTTACCTCATGCCACTGTTCGTGGCGGCCTCGCAGGGCCCTGCGGCCGGCACGCGATCTGCCGTGACGGTCCTGGCCGACGCGCTCGGCACTGAGCTCGCGCACCTGCACACGGCCATCTTGCGACACCTCGACCGCCATGTGCGCGTGCCGCTCGACACATGCATGTGCCAGCTCAAGGAGGCCGCGGCCACCCACAACGTGCGCGTCATGTACGCACTGCGCAAGCTCGCCGACCGGTACGAGCGCGACGTGCTCTCGCAATTGGTCAAACACGTTGCGCCGACGCGCGGTGTGCCCGTAACGGTCGCGGCGCTCGTGCGCACCGACGGCCGGGTCGCGGAATTGCTCGCCAAGTCGCACCGTGCCAGTGTTTTAGACTTGGCCGACACGGTGATCCATCGCGTCGTGCGCAAGCGTGGGGTCGGCAAGACGGTGTTTGCGCCCTTGACGAGTCTGTCGCAGGTGTGTGGATGGTTTGGAGCGGCACATCAACGCGCGCGCAGAACCGACTGAACTGATTCATGATCTGTGGCATTTCATGAAATCCATAGGGTCTGCACGAGCTCGCGACATGCGCATCATTCATTGACCATACCGTCGCGAACCTGCTCCCGATTGTTCACGGCATTGCGACTGCCCTCGCAAGCGGCGATTGGACTGAAGACTGCGCGCGCGACGCGGCGTCCAATGCCCTCGCCCGATTTGCCGAATGGCGCCAGACGATTGTTTCCATACTCGACGAGATCAAGGTACCTACATATCCGCTACCTGTCAAGATCTCGCTTGGAATTCGCTGCCCAGCAGATTGCTCACCACGCTTCTCCTCATCAAGACGGGCCTCACCACCCTTTACCCACCCGCCAACGAATTCCAATGCCCGATTTGCCTTGAAATTATGGCCGAGGCCGCCGTCCTGTCGTGCAAGCACCGGTTTTGCCCGCCATGCCTCGACGAGTACCGCCGCCAGACGAACGCCACGACGCCCGGCACCGTCTTTGTCACGTTCACCAACGACGAGACCAACTCGGTCGTTGTCTCCCAAACGCGGCTTGACGACGAGATTTACGGCCTTCTCGGCCACGACGAGACGGCGCCCATCGATTCTACCCCGTCCCGGTCGTCGTCGTCGACGGCAGCCTCCGAGTCTGCACCATCGACGCCCGTTTCGCCATCGACCCCGCCCACGAACTCCACCTCCACTGCACCGCACCCGCCCATGATCGGCCGCCGCGGCACGTTCACGATGCAATACGAGTCGCCGTTCCTGCCCGCAAACGCCGCCGCGCACCAGCCGCTCATGGTGCGGCTGCCGTGCCCGATGTGCCGCCGCGTCACCGTCACGGCCCGCGGTCGCCCGCTGCCGACCGACCCAGCGTGGACCGAACACGTCGCGCAGCACTTCCCGCGCGAGGTGGCCACGCACAAGCGCGCCGCGGCTCTCACCGACGCGAAACGCAAGGTTGCGACGGCGGTCAAGACCGTGCAGCAGGCTGTCGCATCGACGCGGTTGCTTGGTCGGCCTGTCGGCGTTGCCGCGTGGGCGCGGTCGAACCCGGGCGCGCAGGCGCCGCGCTCGGTCGGTGCGTGGGCGTGAACATGCGCGCAGTGAGATGGTGGTACTCGTTTGATCTTTTCGCGGCGTGCTCAAGTTTCTTGTTTGTGTGGTTGCGGTTTTCGGTTTTCTCTTTTCCGTGCCGTTGATGGGGTCGCAATACCCGGCGGTCGCGTCGCGCGCGGCGGTTCGGGGCATTCGTCTCCCTTTGGTTGACATTCCCCTCGACCCATCCCGTTGGCTGGTTTCTGGATCAATCACTCATCGTATCCGCGGACCGCGTCGGTCGGTGGCGGCTCTAGCTGCTGCTT